GCCGGAGTTAAACCACAACAAAACCTTTCTGTGGTCAGGTAACCCCATATTCCATATATATTACAGAATGGACTTGCCTGCTTTTGTTCCGTGAGGCACTTCGGAGAAGCATGTATTATTCCTCAAATATACAAGTGCTTAAATGTACAACTACAGTTATAGTTATCAACTCTTATAAAAGATGCCTACTGCCATTCAAGAACAGAGCCTGGGCACCGCCAGAGATGCTTTTACAGAGACAGTGTCTGAACACTGACTTGTACAGGAAACTAAGCAAACAAAACATCGGGAATTTTTGGAAATGAATAGACTGGGAAACGCAACACCATTACACCTCAGTGTTATGGCAGGGGACAATCACATCTTTGATACCATACACAGTTCAAAAGCAGTATAGAATGTGAAGAGATTCAGAGAACAGCAACGAGAATGGGTAGAGCAAGAGAACTTTTCCCTGGGGAGTTAATTCAGGCTATCAAAAGTCTCCAGGCTGAGATACGACCAAGGTACACAAAATCCTCTGTGGCATACAGAAAGTTGAATAAGGATCAATTATTCCTTATTCCTTCCCATAAAGGAACAAGGAGCAACAAACAAAAGCAGCATGTCGCAGGCTTAAAGAAACAGCTGCAGGAAGCTTTGTATAATATGTAATTAAGCTGAAGAAACCTCTGCCACTAGACATTATAGGATTCCAAACATTACAGGCACTCAAAAAGTGACTGCATAAATTCATAGGGGGGGGTTCTGAATACAAAAAATACCACAGTTCCAGCAAGTCCCCGAAATGCAAATTGCTAGAAGGTGGGAGAGAAGTTCAGCTGGATGATGTCTTCTGTATCTTTTGATAGTCACTGTCAAGGGCAGGATACTGGGGTAGACAAGGCTAACAGTCAAAGCTGATATAAGCGTTATTATACCATATTCTGCATAACACAAAGCATCTGATGTTATCCAGAATAATGAAGCTACTGAGGAGCTCTGCCCTCAAACTCATTGACTCAAGACTGCAAAGATAAAATTATCACTGCAGTATTTTAGTAGTGTGTCTTAGCTAATGTTATTTTAATGCAGATGCAGAGTTAATCTCCTGTACTCCACTCGTTCTGGCACTTCCAGTCTACTGAGCTACACAGTTCTAACACTTTAATGTAGATTTGACACTTTCCTCAGAGGAAGCTCAAATCCACAGTAAAAGCTGCCTTCTGTAGTTTCTGAACAGTATAGGAACAGCACAAATTAAAAACTCCACAAACAGAGGGCAACACAAGCACTCTTATTTTCCCATATAAAACCCAGTCTGATGAAGAGAATTACAGAAGAATCAAAGGTGTAAGACAAGGTAAAGCAGACTGAGGTCAAATTAGTAATTGCTTTGCACACAGGCCCACTTCTACATCCTTACAAGCCTTAGCCTGGGTTGAAGAATACAAACGAGTGAGAAGAGTACTCTGCAGCAGCGAAAAGTTAACTGAAGTGCTCACACTTCCCACTTCTACCTTTAATACTTCCCCCGCTAAGTCAGCATCCCTGAGCTGAGTAACACCCAGAGGAACTGCGTCACTTGATGTGATGAGAAGTCTGACTTAGTAGCATGTCAAAAACCAAAAAATTGTGACTATGCAAGAAACATTTTCCCTCTAACGTGTACCTAGTGCTTCAGACTCGGGCAGTGTGCTGCAGTGTATAGCTGTCCTCCATATTCTGGTGCAAAAAGAAACCAGAAGCATAAGATACCAGTCCTGAGCAGAACACAAGAGTCTCCTGGTGCCATCTAGCTGAGTGACGTGAGAGCTGGAGAATTCAGATAAGATTTCAGTAACTCTACTTCACCTTTAAAAAGATATCATAGCCCAGCTATCTAGTCAGATGCAAACTTTATCCTCTCTGCCTACTGGACTGTAACATCATGCCTCTGAATCAACAGAGTTTGGCAAGGCAGAGGCACTTCAGATTATGATGCCAAATTCACTGCTGATACATCAGCAGGGACTTGCTGTGGTGAAGGATCTGCTGGTAAGAGACTGGCATCAGCTGTCTTAGAACTGACAGTGGCATAACGCACTCAGGGCAAGCAGGGCTTCTCTTGTGAACAGTGCAACTTGCTTCAGGGGGTATGAGATCCAAGAGGAACCTTATCGTACAAGCATGCTTCTTTGTGCCAGTCCTATACTGTTGTTAACACAGCATCTTTATCAAAACTGCATACTATCATGCTTTCCTAAATTCAAGTCTTACAGCTCCTGTGAAAATCGGTTTCAGAGTGTCCATTTCCCAGTAAAACCTACGGCTTTCGAGCACTGTTGGAGTCCCCATTGATTCCAAATTCACTTACTCTTCTGGCAGATGCAGTGAAGGAGTTGGGCTCGGGTGGTGGTATTTGCTCAGTGATGCTAGGCCTGGATTCATGGCTGGAGTGGTTGGCAAAGGGCTCTTCCTTCCTTTCTACAATTTTAAACAAGAAGAGAAACCAGACGTTTCAGTATCGCACTCCCAAGGCCCTTCTTTACAAGCACAGTGTGCACCATGCTCAGGTTCAGCATCGATGTGACCTCAGTGCGCCCCAGATCACAAAGATGATGTCAGTGCCAAGGCTGAACAGGGATTTCTGCAATCAGGCTTTCTCCTAAAAAATACGATGGATACATTTGCCAGGCAAAGCTTTTGAACTTCCCCACAGATAAGCAAAATCTTTACAGAAAGCACCTTAAAGGAGGACAAACAGATTTTTTTTTTTTGGTTTATTCACAATTTTGCCTCTTCTGAGGGCTTGTTCTTCCCCTGTAAAACTCAGGAAGAAGAGCAGAATATGCAATTCCTACTGCAGCAGGAGATCACGCATCCCCAAACGGGCCTGGTGGTGGATTTCATTGCACACTGCTGATGCAGTTACTTATGCTGGTAGGCAAATTTCTGATCTTCTACCGCAAACTGCATTTTTCTACATGAAGCTGGGACTGATTCACAACAAAAAATCCTTAACAGGGCTCAAAGCAAGCTCAGCAAACCCTCTCAAAGCTCACAGCTGGCTCCCTGGTTGTTAGACAACTGAAATCACCCAGTATTACAAGTTCGTGTGTTTGCACCATGCATGACATAAGAACATCCACCAGCCATTACCAGTGGGAAAGTAAGCAGAAACTATGTCTCAGGCAATCAGTTCAATGGACAGGAGTGCACAGGGCTCAGAGACAGACTGTTTACCAAACACAGCCACATGCAAGGTGCCTAAGAAATGATGTACCACAGCAACAAAAGGTTTTCCCCTGGCAGCTGTGAGTGCCTCACAGTGTTATGGTTTTGAAAAAACAAAGTCATTTTCAGTGTAACCACCCAAACAGAACTAGTGAGTGAGGTATGTGTAGTGAATAAAGATCTTCTATTACATATAAAAAGCAGTTTGCTATGAGCATCTCTGAGGATGGCACTTTGGAATGCGAAGATCAACCTTTCTGAATCAAATGTTCTCACTCCGAGAAATACAGATTCCAAGGCCACGGAAAACAGAAAAGAGCAGGCCAAGAGGAATGTTTGAAATCAACAGGCAGCTGGCAGGACTGACAGATGCAGAATTAAAGAGACAAATATGCATCTCCCCTAGGACAGTCTGCACGATGTTGAAATCGCAGCCACCTTTCCCTCTCATCTCAGCACTTCCACCGAAGTCATCCTAACGGAGTATTGCGTTTCTTGAGCTGAACACTCCGGGGCACTGCACTTTCAAACAGCCCTTTAGGAAGGGGCAGCAGACTACCCATTTCCCCTTGGCACACAGCACTCCATGGACATGCCTACGGACAAAAAATGACATACTTGCTGACTGCTTGAGACTGAATCCTTGACTTTGTAGAAGGGGAGAAGAGACCTGACAGCCAGCGGGCTTTACCGGCTGGGCTAGAGGGTGACTGGTAGCCTGGTCTGGAAGCTCATAGTCCAGAGGTCAAGCCTAATTACAAGGGCACAAGCTTGAGTGGTAATGACAGGCTGAAAGGACTGTGAACAATGCGACTGAAAGTCAACTGCAGAAAAAGGACGGGCAAAAAAAAAGTACCTCGTACTGGCAGCATGAGAGACTGCATGACCACAGGCATCATTGTCTTCAGGGGAGAACCCCACGCTGTATTTTAGTAAAATTTCAGCACTAAACATTATGAATTCCAGTCCAGGGAAACTGGCGAGAATTAGTTTAATCTCCCTACAACAAATCTAGTGAGACTAAAAATTAATTTCTATAAATTTGGCTTAAGTATCATTTTTCTTGTGAGGTTTTTTTTTGGGGGGGTGGGTCTTTTTGGAAAGAAGAGAAAACAAAACTAAAAAACCCCACCCCCAAACACTGAAAGCTTCCCTGGCCTGCTTTAATTCACAATAATTCTGTATTGTAATAGTTACCAGCACAGATAACAGCCATAACATTTTATACTGATTTTTCTCTTGTTTATACAGAACCCAATGCAAAGTTGTTAACTGTCCCCAAGATGACCAAAATGGCATGAATGCAATTAGCTTCTCTTGTTTGTAGAACTCAATTTTCTTACAGACTGTAACAAACACGGTACTCTGAAGCACTCTAGCAACTTCACTGCTCACCTCTTCAAATTTCTCCTCCTGCCACAGCCTCTGCAATTTCCACAATTTATCTCAACCTGAGACATTTCAAAACATGCCTCAAAACAAACTTCTGTATTATACTGTCAGCTTCCACACCGTCCCATCAGTTACCAAAGTTGTTAAAGTTCTTTGGTTTAAAAAGATTACTCATAACAGTATTTCAGCTTTTGTTTTTTCTTTTTCTGGACTTTGAACACTTGAGAACAACAGACATCATCTATCTGTCCAGCACTGCTCAGAATTACAAAGCCATGTGAATATTGAAACTCAGAAGAAAATTAAGAGGAATAAGGAAATAATTCCCATGTTTTCCAAAAAACATGCCAGTACCACACGGGCTGCCTGGCTCCTTCTCTGCTCCCTGGGGTCCGGGAAACCCTCTGCTCGCCACAATTGACCACCGAGCCACAGCAGGAGCTGTTGCCAACACTGAGACCCTCAACATCAGAAGGATATAGACTGGTTGGAGCGAGTCCAGAGGAAGCCACGGAGATGCTCAGAGGGCTGGAGCACCTCTGCTGTGATGAAAGGCTGGGAGAGTTGGGCTTGTTCAGCCTGGAGAAGAGAAGGCTCCAGGGAGACCTTATTGCAGCCTTCCAGTACCTGAAGGGGCTACAAGGAAGCTGGGGGGGGACTTTTTACAAGGGCCTGTAGTGACAGGACAAGGGGTAACGGGCCTAAATTGAAAGTGGGAAGGTTTAGATTAGATATCAGGAAGAAGTTCTTCACAGAGAGGGTGGGGAGGCACTGGGACAGGTTGCCCAGAGAAGCTGTGGATGCCCCATCCCTGGAAGTGTCCAAGGCCAGGCTGGATGAGGCTTGGAGCAACCTGGTCTAGTGGAAGGTGTCCCGGGGGTTGGAACTAGATGATCTTTAAGGTCCCTTCCAACCCAAACCATTCTATGATTCTATGAAGACATGCCTCCTGTATCCAACCAAGCATTTCAATGTGTAGCAGATAATAAAGCATAATTTTTCCTAAGACTGTCTTTGAAACTAGTAGCACTGTGACACTTACTATTTCCTATGAAAAACTATTCTCATCCCTGTTCATCTTCGGAGCCCTCCTGTAACGTGTGGGCTGATGTTATCTCATGAACCTTGTCTTAATACTGAAAACGTGCCTCTCATCCACATACACAACGGACAGCCACATCTGCATCCAGCTGGACACTTTCATGGTCATTTTGTTAGAGACTGGAGAAGTTCACAAGGTAAAGTTTCAATTCTGATGGAAAATTCTCAAAGGAGCCAATAATCTCTCGAGCAGAGGAGAGCACAGGTAACAAAACCTGAAGCTGAATCATTACTCAAATGCTTTTTGTCATCGACTTGTTTTAGCTTTAGCTGTTTGAAACAGATTGGTATAATGTGCTTTGCTCAGTGAAATAACTCCATAAAAAGTTGCTCTGGCTCTACACAGAATTTAATGCTGAGTGGTGCAGCACTTCCCCTGCTGAAGGATCTCATGCTGCTCCTCAATCCGTTCAACACCACGTAGCTCCACTTCACCCAGCTGCACACACGACAGCGGTGTCTTGGTCAAGTTCCTACCTCATTTACAAGAACTGGCACACAGATGTACAGGGCTGCTGTCTAGTAAAATCCTGATTTAATGAGCAAATAAATGTGACTTCTACTGCATGCCTGTTTCTAGCGCTGACTTTGCTGCATTTACTTGATTTAAAAGCCAAAAGATTATTTCACTGTGTTACTGTCATACCCAAGCAGCTTTTGTACTACCAGCTCTGCAAAGACCATCCAGGATACTCAACATCTCTCACACTGCACTGAACATCAGTGTTGATACAAATAGAACACACAGGTGACAGTTTTATTGGTGCAAGAAGCAGGACAGAAGTTTAAGCCACAGTTTGCTGCAAGGACCGATTTATTACTATGGTGGGATACAGGCCAGGTGAGCTGATGTTAAAAGTAGTTTAACCATTAAACACACCCTAATCCAAGATCCATCTCTCTTAGCAGAAATATTAAGTACAAGTCTTGACTTACTGTAAAATTAAGTAGCGTTATTTAAACTTTCTGTGCTGCACATAAACACTGTTTAAACTAAGGAAGCCTTAGAAATTACGGGAAAAAAGGAGGTTGGAACAAAGGGAGTAGGATGCCAGCAAATGCATAATGTAAAGACTAACGTGATTGATTGAGTTAACCCTTATTTTCCACTATGTTCTGCAATTATTACACCTCAGTCAGAAAAAATCCTCATCTTTTTAACTACATAGAACAGCTTCAGCCCTTCATTTCATTTCTCTGATCCAAACACAGCAGGCTATTACCTTCCTACGTGTTCAGTTGGCTTTCTACCACCTTGCAGTAACTGTAGTACTCATCCTGAAACTGGCCAACAAGAAGAATACCTGTTTAAGAACAACCTATGAACAATGTGTTATCTTAAATTCAAGTGAGAAAGAAGTAGAAATTAAAATACTATCTGCTCCTCTTTTTTAAAATTATGCTGATTTGGGAGACAGCATTTAGATCAGCTTTTTTTAGTACAGAGTTCTCCATATCCTGTACATATACACTGGAAGTAAGACTTGGAGGGCCTCCTTATGAACCAAGGAAAAACAAAGGGAAAAAAAAAAAGCAGTTCTCAAATTGTTCCCGTAATACTGCTAGACTAAATATTTAATCCAAGACTGTACAAAGTCTTACCTGACTCCTTTTCAGCATCTGATTCTGAAACTTCATCTTCTTCAGCTTCTTCCTCTTCTTCAGAGCTAGAACTGCTAGAGTCCTTGTTCTCTTCTTCCATCTCTATGGACTTCAGCGTGTCTTCCTCATAAAGAATCTTCTCTTTGCTGCAAGATACGGAAATTTTAAGGGCTACCAGGTAAATGAGTTCTTTCTGAGTTCTCAAGAACACATAGACTTGATTTGCTACGTATAAAACAAGCAAAAGGACAAAATCTATCTACATACTCAGCATGCCAGCACTTCCAGCTCGCCCATTTGCCACAGATTCCAATGCCAGTTTTGCATTTCCTAAATTTGCCAGCATTTCTCAATCCAAACAAACGTGGTCTCTCTTTGCCTGGTGCAACACAACCCATCAGCTGGGCTGTATGGCTCTGTGTGACTGCAAAGGTGCAGTTCTTAGTCCAAAGGTCCAATCGGCACCATCAGCAAGAGCAGAGGCTAGGGCACCAAGCACCAGCCCAACTCCTTGTTCTACTGTTTAGTGGGTATGTTAAGAAACAGCTGAAACTGTATTTAAGAGAGATCAGATTTAAAAGAATCCATGAAATGAAGAGCAGTAAACTTTTTCTAAGCCAGCTGAGGCCAGCTGACTGCTAACAGATGAAGCTGTCCTCCCACTACACTCTCTGCAGCTTCTTTTCAAGAAATAGGAGGCACGTACTTGAAGAGTCTGCTTTGAGGCCTGCCGTTCATGTCGGCTTCAATTAGCTTATTCCTCGTCTCCTTCTCATTTCGCAACTGTCGAAAAGTCCAAGTAGATTGGAGAAAGAATGAAAAGAGACATCTTAACAAGCCACCTCAGCACAACCCGATAATTACCAAAGCATAAGGTCAGCCCAACCTCGTTAGATGCAAAATACTGTGGATTAGTTTAACGAGCCAATCCAACAGATGCACATCTGCAGAAGCACTGATTATCTGGGACTAGAGCTCGGTGAGAGCACAACCACACCCCCATAACATCCTTAGACTCAAGCTGCATTTAGTAAAACCTCCAGAGAAGTCAGCAGCTGTCCCTGCCGAGATGGAGTCCAATCCTGACTTCCACAGCACTGCCCTGCCTCCTCCCACGCAGACGCAGTGCTGGGGGTCTGTCTACACGTCTCTGTATACCCACGAAATCGGGCCAGATTCAGTGCAAAACTTGCTACTACAGCTCTTATTTCCTTGCTCTCCGAGGAAGGCAATCAAGTATGCCCCGTCCTGGCAATCCAAGGGTCTCCCAGGAGGATGGGTCACTCCGAAATCTCTCAAATGCCATTGCACCTCTGATCACCACAGCAACTGAGGTATTTTGCCCAGAGAGCAGCAATATGTGGAAGGTGTCCCTGCCCATGGCAGGGGGGTTGGAATTAGATGATCTTTAAGGTCCCTTCCAACCCAAACCATCCTGTGATTCTATGATAATATGAATTTTGTCACCACTGATGGACAAAACAATAACCAGAAAACTGTTCTGTAGCTTCTAGAAGCACAGACACAGCTGAGGTAGAAAAACGGATGGCAATTAGAGGTGCACTTTTAAGGCTGTCTCTTTTCTGCCTTGTCTGGCCTAGTTGTTCTTTCTCTTTTGACAGGAGCTGACAGCAGGCACAAGAAGCAAAAGCTCTGCACATTCTGAATGTGGGAAAAGCTACACGGAGTCCAATGAAGAGCCAAAATTTAGGGTAGAGCATGTCATTGAACAGAAGAAACTGTTGGAGCACAGCAAAGTGAAACGCAGGAAACAGCCTGCTCTGTTCAAAGGTATTTCAGAGACTAGGAAAAAAAAATCCCAACTCAAATTAATTCCTTCCAGCAAACAAAATCCCCTCTTTGCTCTGATAACGGAAGCAAATCTTTTCACAGGGATGGCATATTGTTCCACTACAAGCTTTGGATTAAAAAACTGATTTGAGAGCCATTTTGAAAGTGAAATAATGTACTTTAGGGATGTTGTGAAACTGCTGATCTCATCCTTGACAAATACAAGTTTTCTATTTTAAGTGATAAAAATGGCACATGATAAACACACATGATAAAATGGCGTTGAAAAAAGTATATCTGCTAAAAAAAAAGTGTGATAAGATCTGGATTTTTCTCTTCTTCCCAGTTCTACTATCGCTTGCTACACTCATTTAATGAGAGGAGAAGGCCTTTATATAGTGCTGCTATATAGAGAACACAGAAGGCTGCTAGCCCCTGCAAAGCTGGCCTAAAAATGGGCTAGCACCCACCCCAAAAAGATTATTCTTGCTGTTTTTTCTATTCTTTTGAGGAGTGCAGTTTTCTGTAGAATCCCAGTGTAGTGAGATAGGAGGAAATCCAAAACACACACTGATAGTATTTATCAACACCTCATTTAGGAAGAAGATGATTAATTTTGTAGAAGTTTCAGTTAATGCTAAGGATGTTATTTAAGGATGACAGCAGCTGTGTTGTGATCAGAGCTTGAGTTCTACCACCCACATTGCCAGTTCCTCAAAATACTTGACTGGGTTTTATCACCAGTGTTCTCATTATGTCTGTTTCTGAATGTGATGTTTTAAATGATACTTTCTGATTTTTACTTTTTTTCAAGAAGGCTGGTCTGTGTTTTGGAAGCACCCAAATGAGGTAATTGAGTAGACCAGATGAAACAGTAAAAAATCCAATCAAAAAACAACTTTCTGGCCTGATGACTGGCTTTACTTTGATGAAGATATATTTTCGCTTTCCTTTTTCATGCCATCTTTCTGCTTATAACCCCATGCAGTATCTCCACTGCGTTATGAAATGGCAATTTCATACAGTTTTAAAATCACAATTTTTTTTAGTCCAGAATTCCCTGACGTTTATAATTTCTTCTCACTCAATCAAATGTTGCCCTGTGGTCAGAAAAGCAGACACGGTAACAAATCTCTTTCTCAACAGTGACAGCACATTTCCTTAGATGCAAACACAAACTTGACTTGGGTAATCACTCATTAAGAAAAGAGCAGGTTGATGTTACCGAGCTTGCCAGCTAACAAAGTAACTGCAGAATAGTAACAATTCCAAAGATGAACTATACATTCCTTACTAGGGCATGTAATTCCGCATGTCAGCATGCCACTGACCTTCCTGATGCAGTCATCCACTCTTCCAGAATTCTAGCCATTAAAAATATTGGTGTAATTAAAGATTCCCAATGGCTAACACAAAAAACATTATGCGTGTCAGCTTCACGTGTCTGTTGATGCCATGTGTCTTAGAGAACACTCGTGCATGAAAAGGAACTTGAGAGTTGGAAAATGATCTGCCGGAAACTCACCACAGTCTGTTTCTTCTGCAGCATTTCCAAATGCTCAACCAGCCCCTCATCAGCCACGTCGAATGGTGTCTGGCCCTGACGCAGCAAGAGGAGACAAGAGGAGATCCGATACGGCACGGTGTTAATACTCAGAAAAGCACTATTTGCCCATAAAGAACAAAAGTAAACATGCTGCACATCCTCCCTCGCCAAACACTAAGCAACATACTATTTCACTCCAGAGCAGGGCCAGCCACGCGACAGTGACGGTAGCTTCACGTCTCAATCCATGATCAGAGCAGCCTTAATCATGGAAGTGCAGTTCCCTGATTGATGCTGCTTAGATGTAGCAGCCAGGACTTACACATTTGGGTTTCCAGGTTTCTCAAAAAGACACTTGTTCTGAGAAGGACTGTGATCAACCCGCTCTACTCTATCATCATGTATTTAAACCTCTTGAAAGGTGGCCAAGCTTCAGCAGGCCACAAAATTTGGGAGCCATTTCCATATCCAAGGGGATTTACAAAATAAAACAAAACAAAACAGAAAAATTACTCTGGGGCACAAACCAAGAAATCAGTTACATTTTATTTAGCTTTCACTAAAGCTAAAATAACCATTTTATTAACAACCTGCTGGCTAGGGAACAAACACACACAGGCTGTCGTGGCCATCTGACTGAGCAAGGTAACAACCCTTGACTGGAAAGAACAGGTAATGCAGCAGCTACAGCTGTGTAGCTCTTCAAGTATAGCACCATACAAAACCCACCCACATTCTGAGCATTTTGGAAAACCACCTGACAGCACTTAAACCAAAACCAATTCCCTGTATTTTGGATGCAAAGAGCCATGATAACATGGCTCCTTCTTTCACCTCAGTTTCCAGATGCACTCAACCCATACAGTGCACGTTTCTCTTATCAACTTCTCCTGCCTGCTTTCATCCCCCAGTGCTGTTCCAAGCACATACAACCTCTTTTCCTCCTGCAGAAGCAGCCACGGTACAACTGAATCTGCTCCAGCAGGAAGCAGTTCACGGACACTGCCTGGATATTACAGCAGGGAGGGGAACACAAAGAACAGCCCTGGACAAGCACGTGTCAGCCCTTGAAAATCCAGGGCTTTTCAAGGAAAAACATCTATTAGGATGGAAGAGGAATTTTTTTCCTCCTTTTCTTTTTTTTCCTTCCATCCTATTTTTCTTTACTCATTTCTCAGGAATCTGAGTCAATTTTTCCATTTCCCTTTTCATGAGCTGCCAGTTGCTCAAGTTCACTAGTTTTCAGCACCTTATACCTTAATATTGGCATATTATTTTGCATTCCAAGATTGTCTTCTCTGCTGTTGTTTAATTCATCAGGATTACACTAAAACAGGAAGACACAGATCAGCCCTCATCCTTTCTTACAATCTTGATCCTAAAGTTTACTCATTGATCTTTTCCAGTAATACCTGAAACTGTTTTTGCCTTCCTCTAATCAAAAGTCTTTATTTTCTGACACTTTTAAATGCTCCAGTGCACATGCCAGGAGAACTGCTCGCCGTCTAACTTTGCCATGGCGTTCGATCAAGTGGTAGGCAATGAAACTGATATTCATCTGGCTATAAAATACACTGCATAGGTTGTGCCAACATCTATGCGCACTAACCAGCTTGTTCCTGATGTCCATATCGCACAGTGCCTCGGCCAGGATGGAGCAAGCTTCCTTCACTCCCCAGTGCGCAGCAGCGTGCAGCGGAGTCCAGCCGTCGTTGTCCTGGATGTTCAGACTAAAGCCAGCCTGGATCAAGAGCCTGAGGGAAGAAGCAATATCGATTTCTGCCCACCCGAGAATGACCTCTTGACCCAGAAGGGCTCACACCATCAGCCAGAGTAGGTAACAAGGTTAACAATAAGCCAGTAGTTTCTTGTTTATTCCCCTACACAACGTCCCACTAGATGTGCCTACAACTTTAACAGAAAAGGGCAGGAAATGAAAAGTGACTTCTCTCTAAAACCCGTTGGAATGTGTCTAATGGATAAGGTTCCCTTTCAGTATGTCCTCAACTGGAAGAACACCTTAATTTCTAATCTGGCATCGGTGACCCAGTCCAAACTCCTGCTCCAGTGAACACCAGACTTGCCCAGGCACTAAGTAACCATCTCTGCAGACTGCCATCTCCGTAACGGGGAGCCAAGCACAGCCCCTGGCAGGAAAAGGACGTGTGGTAACTGGAGCTCAGTCTTGGTTCCACCAGAGAACAAGCTCACGCTGTGGGAACGATCCATAAGGAAGTGATGCCAGCAGGACTGCCACATAAGAAGCCATTACTGTGATTGACTGATGTGAAATTTGCAAGTCAAACAGCCCACGTTTGGGTTAAACAACCCAAAATGCATTTTGCAGACTAGTCCTTGCACAGTTAAAGCAAATCCCACCCCAAGTGAACCTGCCTGGGAACACCCTCACATCACATTTACTGTTGTTCACCTTCCACCCACTCCCTTCTCTACCAGAGCAGCGTGTCAGTGTCGCACAGCACCTGGAGCTTGAATATTCCTAAACAGAAGGAGCAGAAGAGAGCCAATTGTTGTCTGAAGCTTCAGAGACAGATGCGCACTGGTACAGCAGTGATCAGATGGAAGTACTGAGCGGCTCGTGTATCAGAACTGACTATTATCCAAGTTGCTTAAATACTGAAGAACATCCCAGAGTAATTCTTCAAGTCTGGTAAAACCGCTACTGACAATTTCCACTGTGGGAAATTCCCCCATCCAGAGGCACCTTTCTGCAGCACAAGGGAAACCCAGCATGATCCCAGAGTGGCATCAACAGTTTTGAAACTCCTGCAGCTTTACACCGATGCATTGCCGTGCCAAAGAAAACACAGCCATCCTATAGCAGCAGTGTCTTTCTCTGGGAAATGCAATTTAAATTAGGTGCTGACTTAATGTTGATTTTCCAGCTGGCAAAAGGGAGGAACATAGCTGCTAAGAGACTCAAGGTCACAGACAAATTCCACATCTGATTTGAGAGTTAGCTAGCTCCTGGCTTTCAGCCCCTTTGGTTTAAGTCCCTGAAGCTTTGCATTTGAACTTACAGGGTGGCCATAAAATACACAAGTGAAACAATGTCAGCTCTCCATGAGATCTGTTTATTGTTGTACCGATTAATGCCAAGAAGTAGCTGTCCAGAACTAGTCACCCAGCAAATAGTAAATGCAGAGCCTCACTGACGAGTACTGGATATACAACCCTCCACGGAAAGTCCACGGGACCAACACCTCACATTCAGGAGACTGACATTTCTGTTCCACATGAGCTGTGCTAGGTTAGTGTTCTTGGGCACGGTACAGGCACAGGCAGCATATAACTCAATTATGAGCTTTAATGAATGAATACAAATAGGAAACATGGAGCACAACAAAATTACTAGAGCTTGATAAGAAACAGCTCTTACACACCAAGTCTTACACACTTAAAGCTACGAAATTAAGGATCAAGATAGACGAAAACTTCCAGAAAGGATTTTAATGTGGGCAATAACCCTGCTGATGTTTACGGACAGCTCCACCCATACATAAAGAGCAGATAAGAAAGTGTGCTGTTGGAAACCTTAATTTGACCTTACCTGTAGAAATATTAATGCTTTATTGCAAACACTGCATTGGGCAAGTTTATGTTCATAATAAGCTTGTTAGTGCTAAGTAGAAGCATAACTGTTTTGTGTGGGTACCCCTCTGTCACTGCTGATGGCTGCAGGAGCAGGAGGGTTAAGGAGCAGGGGATGGTGAGACAGGCATGGACACTGCTTTTTTCCACTAGACTGGTCACCTAAACTGTGTGTTTGTGATCATCATGCAACACGTATTGTCACTTTGTAGGCTGAAATTATGCTTTTATCCCCTAATACTTTTACCTTGCTAGTCCTAAAACTATTACTCTAAGAGTGAAAATTAAACCTTCTAATTTATGTCTCACACTCTGAACAGCTTTCATCACTTTAAAGGCCTAGAGGTATGAAGGGAATCTTCCAGTCCCTGTGTATTTCTAGGTGAATCACTGTGGTTGGGTACATAAATCTACAGAACCTTTTGATAAACAGCAGACTGAAAATCTCAGGATGAAACAAATGTCTCTCAACTATAAAGCTTGATGTATTCCTTATGAAAACCAACCTTGATTCAGTGCATCAGCCCTGGGAAGGAGGTCCTACCTCATGACTTCAGAATAGCCCTTTGCCGCAGCAACATGGAGAGCCGTGGCACCTGTTCGAGGCTGCCTTATGTCTTCAATTCTCCCACTGTTCAGCCACTGTCGGGCATCCTGTAGCATTTGCTGCTCCTCTTCTTTTCTTGCCAGGTCTAGGTCTACACCTAAGAGGGCAAAGCACAGAAGAAATTATCAAGTGAAAGCTCTCAGCTGCTTAAACTTACCCTGTGATTCATTTGCTATACAATATCAGTAAACTATTTGCACTCTGCCACACTTTAAAAAAAAAAAAAAAAAATCAGCAAATACATCTTCTAGGAGCTGGGAGAACTCCTGCATCACTGACAGAGACTTCAAAGCTGACTGACTTAAAAGCTCTGAACACTGAGCCACTGGTTGCAAACCAGCCCAACTAACTAGCAGCTCAACTGTGAACTGTGGGATTGCATTCGAAATACACAGTGGCCTAGACTGAAGTAACAAAGTCATGAAGAACAGCTTAACAAACTGAATTAAACTCTAGTGAGAGTATCATCTGCAGTGAAGATCTGAAGAGATGATCCTAAGTCATCTCCCGCAGCATGACCCCCCAACCGTATGCTCACTCAAAACTCAATACAAGCTGCACAGAGACCTGTACAGCACCAGAGCTATTCATGCCAGGCACACCAAAAGGAATATTTAGTTAATTCCACTGAGCAGCAAACCACCAGATTCTGACCAAACACGATTCTAAATCACTTGGAGCATAGAAGGCTGAACCCAAATCTACTCTGATGGCTTTAGATGAAGTCAGATCAAGTAAGTTTATCACTACACACTTCTGGTATAACACAGACCCAGACTGTGGGGCTTTCTGATAACAAGAGTTATCCCACCCCAGGAAACAACTGCTACGATGCGGAGAAGCCAGGTGGGTCTGGCTGATGGGCTGTGTCAATTGTCACTAAACCAGCAGGAGGTTGGTTTAGTACCTTAGACTTGTTCTCGCAAGTGGAGTTTCCAGGATAATGAGGTCACGTGAGGCGCTCTATCAATCAGAAGTACAATACAGCTCCACACAGGATTAATCATAGAATCACGGAATGGTTTGGGTTGGAAGGGACCTTAAAGATCATCTGGTTCCAACCCCCCTGCCATGGGCAGGGACACCTTGCACTAGACCAGGTTGCTCAAAGCCACATCCAGCCTGGCCTTGAAGACATCGAGGGATGGGGCATCCACAACATCTCTGGGCAACCTGTTCCAGTGCCTCTCCTCCCTCTCTGTGAAGAATTTCTTCCTGACATCTAATCTAACCCTCCCTGATTTCAATTTGTACCCATTACCCCTTGTCCTATCACTACAGGCTCTTGTAAAAAGTCCTCTCCCAGGACCCTTGTAGGCCCCCTTCAGAAAGCTGCAATGAGGTCTCCTCGGAGCCTCCTCTTCTCCAGGCTGAACAAGCCCAGTTCTCGCAGCCTTTCGTCATAGGAGAGGTGCTCCAGCCCTCTGAGCATCTTCGTGGCCTCCTCTGGACTCGCTCCAAGTGGTCAATATCCTTCTGATGTTGAGGGCTCCACAGCTGGACGCAGCACTCCAGGTGGGGTCTCACCAGAGCAGAGTACAGGGGCAGAATCCCCTGCCTCGACCTGCTGGCCACACCTCTCCGGATACAGCCCAGGATACGGTTGGCCTTCTGGGCTGCCCGCACACACGGCCGGCTCATGTTCAGTTTTTCATCAACCAGTCCCCCCAAGTCCTTTTCCTCGGAGCTGCTCTCTATCCAGAGTACAGCTTGCTAACTCAGGAGAAAATATGAAGGAGATGACAACAAATCTCAAAAATCAAGAAGGGTGCGAAAGAGCAAGTGTCCCTATGGATTAGTTCTTTCAGTATAAGAACGACATGATTCCAAATTAAATCATGGGGCATTAGGTTTAAAACAGAACAAAAAAAACACTTATCAAGTCAGAGTCTGAACTGTGAAACCCATTACCGCAGGATGTTGTGAAGATTAGAATACAACTGGCTTTAGAACAAGGATTAGACCAATTTGTAGTTATTAAACATAATGCTATACATGCCAGGAGTTTCCAACAAGGGCTGCACGAGTTCACAAAACAGAAAGCCACGGGGGATTCACGGGTACACAGAAAGCCCATCTGGCTCAGGAATTCCTTGAAGCAGTGCTGAAGGCTGGGAAAATGTTTGGGAGGGGAATCACACACACTTGTCTTCTTGTTACAGGTTGCAGCAGGCATTTGCTTATCACTGCTGTTGAAGGCGGGCTACAGAGCTGGATGGACGCTTATTTAAAGTTCATACCACATTTACTCTAGCAGTTACGATCCTTTTAAGCTGTGTCAATGGGAAGCTTCACGGTGGAGACAGATGGTTGTTTCAGGGCATCTTAGCAGGATGCCACTAATGTGGTGAGGCAATGAAGAAGCTAAGCAGAATCCCAAGAAGTGTCAGGCAAAATATCTGCAGCTGAGGCAGAATTACTGCCTTAGCAAGGTTTCAACCATGTTATTACCATGTACAGTTCTTGACACCCACTTTCAAGAGAAACAACTTACACCAAAGTAAAGAAAGGATCTCTATCTTTCTGGGCATCCAAGGAGGCCTGACTGCAGAGAGGAGACAGGCACAGTTTGGACAGCCCAGTAAAACAAACGCTGACCACAGACACAATTCTTCTTTTTTAGCAAACTAAATACAAGAGAAAAGGACTATTTAATCTTATTTCAAAGTGGAGGGAAAAGGGGAACAAAATAAGAATGACCTTGTCACAAACACCACTAGCCCAGAAAGTGAAAAGTTTCTATTTACCAGAAGGAACATGATCCTGCAACAATCTTCTGAGGGGAACACTAACACAAGTAACAACAAGCTGTCAGATGGGCGGCTAGAAACTCAGCAGTGGAACAGTAACACGGTTGACAAAGCAGCAAGGGAGTCGCCTCTTCCAAACCATACAAAACAGCTTCAAAAATAAAATAGCCACCATGTGTCAAGTAGAGTGTATCTGTTAGAGAGGACTGGATTCAATCCATCATGCAAACAACCTCAACATCAACCTGCAGTCATAAAATAAACTAGACTGGAAAGAATCTTCGGGGGTCTCCAGCCCAAATTCCTGCTCAAAGGAGGGTAACTTCAGACCCAGATCAAATGGCTCCCGGCTGAATGCGGCTGAGTGTTGACTACATCCAGTGAAGGCAATTCCACAAATTCCTTGGGTCCCTGTTCCAACACTGTACCACTTTCCTGGGAAATATTTTTCATATGTGTGTGTATATGCAATTAATGTCAATCTTCTCTGCTCAGGGTAAGTATGCACTCCACGTATCTCCAGTGTGGACAGTGCAGTCTACATCAGCTCAAGTTGTCTCAGTTCATCACTTCCCACATAGCTGAGATAAATGCATCCTTCAAAAACATTCCTGATGAACTTCATAGATAGCGTTTAAACTTCTTACACATACGTACAGACACCTAACCACTCACAGATTTCATGAGCATGAAGAAAATGTTACAGTGATGAAGCATTTTTTAATCACAACACAAATTACACTGTCCAAGATGTTTCTTCTACCAGTGATGTTTCTGCAGGGACAGCAGAGAGAGCAGCCCCTCAGACAGGCATACCTGATGAGAAGGGGGAAAAGGCAGAGGAGATGGGCCTGCAGAATATGTTTAGGGAAGGATCAGGATAAGGCAGGTCATTCCAGGCCAGACATACTAACTTCCTGGTCCCTGTTCTTGGCAGAGCTGTATTATCAAGTCTTAGTGAAATCAGACTTTTCATTGATAACAGAGGTCACAAGTAAAATCTCACTTTAAAAGCAAACAGACCTAATGACTCAGATTTCAGTACTGTGTTAGCTTGCTTTGAAGAACCCTAAGGACAGAGACTGCACACACAAACCTGCATCTGTTCCACTGCCCTGCTACCAAAGCAAAATTTGTCTGCTGCCTCTTGGGCCAGATTTCAGACCTCATCACCTACAGACAGTAAGCTGACTGAATTTTCTTACAGAAACTCTTAAGAGGTCCAACTCTCACATAATCAATCCCACTACTGATTTACCTTGTTTCTTTACTTGTTCCAGAAGCAGGTCCTTCATGGCTGCTTCCTCTGCGATGTCAGACGGGACTTCACCTTCACTGTTCACATTGGCCACATTGGCTCCATGACTAATCAAGTACCTACGTGAATGAGACCCACACCGACGTGTTAGACCTTGTGTGCAGGCTTCAGACCAACTTACACAGTAAGTCAAGTACCAGAACAAAATATGTGCCTTTCTCATTCAAGTTCAATTACCAAATGAATACCTTCTTCTTATCAAACTTCTAGACTGAAAAAGTTCCTTATTAATTGAAGGCCTCCGGTCAGTGGCTCACAGTTTTTGTTTCTCTACAGTTATTCAAACACCCCTAGTTCTTGCACTAATTTGATCAATTATGTTTTTAAAATAAATAAAGAAACATTAAAATAGGCCAAGCCATCATCAATTTTTTAATTTACCTTTCTGTAACCATACCAAAAGTTCATTCAGGATCATGTCTTCTTTGGCTTGTACATCTTGTAAGCAGTAAAATTTTGGGAAGTAAAAGAAGTATCTGTTTAAACACACAAATCTAGGAGGGTGAGGTTGTTTAGTTTTAAACTTTACTTTCAATGTCATTGAGAAATAGTTATTAGTATTCAAATTTTGGTAACTTTTTGGTAGCTGTGATGGACTAAACACATAAGCATGGTATGACTGGTAAAGAATAACAATATATTTGAAGAGCTAGTATTTGGGAAGAAGAAAAAACAAACTGATAAAGGATCATCCAGAGAGCTAAGAACTGTTCAGGAGTACAAAACAGACATAAATGAGCCCCTGAAAAAGTTCTTTTTTGCTAGAATATATTGTGGAGGACTATCTTGAGAAATACTATTGTTTTCCCTTATTCTTCTAAGCTATAATGCAGCCTCTAACTCAGAACAAATATTTCCATTAGGAAACTACCATTTACGTTTTCCTACTCTTTGGTTCCAGTTATTCTAGCACTCCAGGTCATATATTTAAGCAATTCTCAAACTCTCAGAGCAGCTTGGTGTACAAGTAGTCTGGTATCAGTATCTTGTCTGGGACAAACAGACTATTGGTCCTTTGTGAGCACAATGAACACCCAGATCAGATGCAGAATGTTATTTCAAACCCTGGAATTAGAAACTGTGTCAAGACGACTCAAATCTTTGTTGGGAGTCACTTAGAACAGGTTACTGCTTTGCTTTAAACATCTACTGCACATCTTACATTTACTGTCTCTTCTTTTCTACGTATTTTATGTTTGTACTCAGTAAATGACCTAATCTCTGACAGGCCTCAGAATTTCACCTGGGTATGGCCAAACTGAGCCTAGTATTTTGTGCTGTAAACATAAAAAACCCACAGTAAGATAAAGCCTTTTTTAAAGCTACTTTTATCTACTTCTCCATCTTCTGTCAGACAGCATGCAAGAGACAGAAAGGTAAGGTCTGAATGTGAAGAAAAAGAAAAGATGCTGTTGGCATATGGGTGACTGCGGAGCCCAGAACAGTGCAGGTGTCTCAGTCTCCACACGGCTGCGGTTCCGCTCACGTAGGCCTGTCTGTGGTGAGACAAGGTGGCTGCTTTGCAAAGCCTCAGAACAAGGGAAAGCATTGGTGCAGTCCCCCTCTGAACTGCACTGCAGTGCGCCACGTATCTACTGTTGGGGGTTTACACCAGAATAGCCACACATGGGTAATTACACCCATGGACATTTTATACAGAAGCAGGACTGTTCAGTTAGAGGAATAAAATCCCGCTCGGCTCCGAGGTAACACTCAGAGTTCTACATGGGCTCCCGGCTGACGGAAGCGCACAGCAGACAGCAGCAGCAGAGCTGGGCTCCCTTCCACGTCGCTCTGTGAGCGTGCTGCCCATCAGCCACTGCGCTTCCCTTTTGCTCGGCGTTTTCGCTGAAGTATCTGATGAATCATAAGTCACTGTAATGGGATCAGCAAAAGGCAGCCAGTTGCAGGCTCCACCTTAATCCTCACAAATTAAGAATTCAGCAACAGGAGAAATGCATCTATTTTCAGCACTGCTTCCCAAGACGTGGGAGAAGTCTCAGAGCACCAATCGCCTGTGTACCTGCTCCGGAGAGGAAGACGTGCAAAGTGTTACAAATACTCAGAACAGCCTGAAACTCACTCACTCTGCTATGTTCAGATAGCCACACGATGCCACGGCATGAAGAGGGGTCCAGCCCTCGTTATCCTGCTGGTTCACATTGGCTCCATTTTCTACAAGGAACTTCACCATGTCCAGGTTCTCATCTATACAGGCCTGAGGGAGAAAGGGAGGGGGGACATCCAGGGAGTGAAGGATTGAAGAGAAAAGGGGAGGGGGAAGGTGTTGGTGTTAAATCAAGAGTACAACCTCCATTTGCAGTTTATTGACAGCAGATAATTCCTGAGCTGAATTTCCCACACTGTTAGCTAGCACACCTGAACACTTAAGATAGCAGAAGTTCGTGAAATAGAATAAATTAATGTCAGAACTTTCAGAAATTAACTGTAACACAGAATCGCCAGGTGAACAACCTCTGAATTTACTCAAGCTTTACTTCTCACCGATGGATCTGCTTCCTTTCTCTCTCCCACACTGTTATCTCCCTGGAGTGAGGGCACACTGTAAAATGATATATCCATATTAGAGTTAGGTAGGGCATCAAGCTCCTCTAAGCAAGACAAGCTATTTAGATTACACTGTTTCCTCAAAACGTCAATGAAATAACATGATAACAGCGAACAAAGCGAGGTATCACTAGTGGTAGGGATGAGCAGGGAGAGCACGAGGTCCAGAAGGCTGACTGAAGCACACCATCCCTATGCTGGGTGTTGTCCTCGTCCAACGTAACCACAGCCAAAGCAGAGTTCAGAATAAGTTAGTAACTTCTTTATTCTGCAGCATCTGTTCATTTTCCTGACTATAACAAAGTACAGCTTTCCCTGCTAGCTCTGCAGACCCTGAGAGCTACTAAAGAGAACGACAACCCTTTATTAGCCACTGTATTAATTCCAGAGTCTGCATTTAGAGGCCTGCTAGCTTTGAAGTTGCCAGAAGAAAACCTAGCTAGATTTTCAAGTCTCAACACTTCTGTTGGGTGGAATTCCTCCTTCCTCAAATTCCTGGCTGCAGCACATTCTGCATTGCATTTACAGTTCACTGGAGGCTGCTATTTAAGGATGAGCTGGCAATTTAATACATTCATCCAAATGCATGTGCCTCAGCTGAGAAGCACCAAGCATGACCAGGAGGCGAAAGCACTGACTTTTGATGCGGGTCCGTCTGCAGGCAGAAGCCCCGTTCCTCATTACCAGAGGGGGAATCAGCTTGGTTGAAATTACTCCAAAATCTCAGCACTCAGTCCTTCTGCACAGCTTGATGTGGGCACATCCGTCAGTTCCGCAGTCAGATGACTCCCAGATGATCACTCGTCTATAACAAGCAACGCCGCCTCTCCATTCCTATGCTAGCAAGTAATGAACACCCCCCTCCCCAAAAGAGAGAATCGCTGCTTTGCTCATTTCAAAGGAGAGGCATGCCCTATACCAGGACATCCAACTTTTGTCACTCCTACTGCAACCGCAAATCCAAAACCAGCCTTTTACCCCGCAAACACAAGTTACTCCTACATGTGCTTGGCGCTCAAGCAGCCATGCAAAAGACTAGCTTTTAGATTTCTATGGAGGCTTCTAAGGAAGCACGCTCCAGAAAACTAACTGCTAGTACAGTTACTTGGCAAACACAAAAAAACACAGGCTACATCTATGGCACTAGGAAAGGAGGCCCCAGGAGCAGACTCAAGCACCCAAGTCCCAACTGAGCCCATGCTGAAGTGTTCACGTCTCCTGCCGCTGTTTTAGACTGGTTTACCTTAACCTTTGCCAGAAAAGCACAAGCATAATTGCAGAAATAGTTTACTTCAGGGACTGCACCAAACCCAGAATGGATGAGACTGTTCCTGGGGTGGCTCTGTGCGCCATGCTTAGTCCATTAACACTCTTGCACCCTCAGGCATGAAACAGCTTCATCCTGTAAACCCAGCTTGGGTGAGTTCCCTTCGATTATTTCAGGCAGTAGAACTGGAAAAAAGCGCAACAACCCAAATCAAAGATCTTGAGGACTGAAGAGCATCACAGTGAGGTTGGAGGAATCCCAGGTCTCAGCACAATGAGGTAAGACATGGTTAGGCCTGAGCAACGTGGATACAAACTAGGTTCCATCACCAGCCTCAGGAGCAAGGTTTGGTCCTGGGACCATCACCTGGTCCAACCTCCTGCTCAAAGCAGTGTTAAATCTGCTCCTAGATCAGTTGCTCAGAGCCTGTTCCAGCCAGTTGTTACGGTCAGCAATGATGGAGACTCCATGGCTGGTCTGGGCCCTGTCCCAGGGATTCACCATCCTCTCAGTGGGTAATTTCTCTTACCATCTAATCAGGATTTTTCTCACTGCAATTTAACCCTCTTGCTGAAGTAGTACAGATGTACCACGTCTCAGCAGGTGATGAGAGCAGGAAACACAAGCCAAACATTCCTACTGTACAGTGAAACCAATGTGCACTCAATATGCACGTCATTAATTTTAAGACGCATTCTAGAAGGGATGCCCTCCTGATTTCCATAATCCTGCAAACTACACAAGCAAATCTCTTAGTGGCTTACATCCATAAAAACGCATCCCAGGGAAGTAGGAAGGTAAAGTATGCAATGCACAAAGAAGTGTACATGGATATACAGGGTAACATAATGATCCCTTTTCTGTTCAAGGAGCGATGTTTTGGGAATTCGAGTCTGAGTCTGTAAAACTCAAAGCTGATCTGTATTTCACTGCTGCCCATATTTATTGTGATACACTTCAAGTTGTCCCTCAACACACCTCAAATTAATACACTTACGGTTTTATTGATGAGTTATTTACATGTCAGCCTGGGAATACAACCACTACGTAACACTTTTTAAATAAAACTCACTTCATCTAAAAGCGTGTTGCTCCAAGAACAGACAAGGAAAGTTTGCTCATGCAGTGAGCACAAGCGATTCTGAGTAAAGAATTATAGCTGCAGAGAAGAATTTTACCAGCATGGCTCTGACAAAGCAGCGAGGTAGGTGGTTCATGCCTGTGCACACTTACTGCTCTGCTGTATCTAAGTATGACCTGCAGTTTGAGTGTAACTCTAAATTTAGACTGAAGAATGTCTCTATAGTGTAAGCTTTGTATGTATTTGATATGAGAATTGTATTTACACTGTTTATCATTTAAACCACCCAAATACACCCACTATGTCTACACGTACTGGGAATCGGCTAAGAGAAGAGAGCAGTTCTTGCTCAAGCTACTGGTCACAGCAGACTCTAATTGTGGTTAGATGCATAAAAGTGCTCCCTTCCCCCCCTTTCAAAAATTCCTGCCTGTTATTGGCCTCCTAGTTCTGCTGGTCCCCATCTCGATGCTTCCTACGGAATGCACGCTAGAAACAGAGGGATAATGCAATCAACCCCCACCTGCTCCTACCCAGAAATCTGCAGTAATTTGACTCGCCTGGCTTCCGAAGAGATAAACCAGAAGTGCCGAAGCTACACGGGTGCTGACAACAGCAGGCAGTCGCTCGCTTCCCCGCAGGAACCACAGCGCATTTCGCGCCTGTCGCCTGCGTTTGCCGCAAAGGTAAAGTCAAGCCCAAAGGTGTATTAATCCTTAACGGAGCAGCAACGTATTCTTTAATATCTAAGAAAAACAACCCTCACTCCACCCTTCTGCACCTACGTGTCATGACAAACTGCTGTTCAAGTTACGTGATCAGCAATGTGACAGTGCTTGGCAAATATTTATTTTAGTATTAATTAGTGACACGTAAGAAGAGAAATAACCATGGAGCTGCGCAAAGCGAACAGTTTTTAAATGACTTGGGGCTGCGTTAACATTAGTAGGTACCATGTCTTGCCTGCCTCAAATACCAAAATGCAAGAATTTTTTACATTTTTGTAGTGTTACATAATACTAATTACGTTGGCCAAGATTTTAAAAAGTGAGGTGGAGGAGGAGTTTCAGAAAATGGGATTTGACAGAGGTGTGGAATAACCCCTCTTCAGTTCGGAAAATCTCACTGTCTCATGTAAGAAACTACCAGGCATAGGACTACTTGCACCATTTTTTAGTCAGAAACCCTAAGAAAACACACTGCTTGTGTCAGCGTGCTATGGCATACGTAACACATCTTGGAGCAATAATTGTGAGGCCAACAATGGGGAAAATGAGTCAAACTGGTAATTTCTGAAGAACTTCTACACATTAAGAACTTAAGCAAACACGCACAGACATTATGACAGATAAAATGGCAGCTTTCAGGGCTTGCAATGTATTTCTGCGTATGCTTCTGAAGTATGAACCGATGAACACTTCCATGTTATCACAGCATTCACGCCAGCCCACACGTTAGTGGTGGTAGTAGTTTCATACATGACTTCATTTTACCAAGCTATGAATTAAAGAACGGAAATTCTCACTGCTGAGAAGTACTCAGGGCACGCATTTGCCCACCTGAAATTTTTGAGAGACCTGCCTGTTGCCACCCCTCTGGAAAATCTCTGTTGCATGTTTTATTGTGCATATCCGCCAAAATTAAGCACTGCAAAACACCACATTAAAAAACAAACACACACACACACAAAAACAACCAAAAAAAACCAACACACCAAAAAAACCCCAACCCCACAACCGCATTCACTGAGATTCAGAGGGCAAAGTTCATCTTCTGGCTGAGCAAACTGGGTTACCTGAGGTTACTGAAAGTCAGCGAGTAAGTCAGCTGCCCCTCTACTCTGCTCTGGTGAGACCCCACCTGGAGTGCTGCGTCCAGCTGTGGAGCCCTCAACATCAGAAGGATATTGACCACTTGGAGCGAGTCCAGAGGAGGCCACAAAGATGATCAGAGGGCTGGAGCACCTCTGCTATGACGAAAGGCTGCGAGAACTGGGCTTGTTCAGCCTGGAGAAGAGGAGGCTCCGAGGAGACCTCATTGCAGCTTTCCAGTATCTGAAGGGGCTACAAGGGTACTGGGAGAGGACTTCTTACAAGGGCCTGTAGTGATAGGACAAGGGGTAATGGGTATAAATTGAAATCAGGGAGGTTTAGAGATTAGATGTCAGGAAGAAATTCTTCACAGAGAGGGTGGTGAGGCACTGGAACAGGTTGCCCAGAGAAGCTGTGGATGCCCCATCCCTGGATGTCTTCAAGGCCAGGCTGGATGTGGCTTTGAGCAACCTGGTCTAGGGGAAGGTGTCCCTGCCCATGGCAGGGGGGGTGGGACTAGATGATCTTTAAGGTCCCTTCCAACCCAAACCATTCCATGATTCTATGATTCTATACTGGAGGAAGGAGAACAGGACAAAGAGGAAGTAAAAGGGTTAGATGTGTCCTCATTTAAGTACTATTAATCCTCCAAGCTTAAATATAGGAGAGTGGATAAGTTTAGTAACCCAAGAGGATCTATCGCTATGCAAAGTTCTCCTCTTCTGTTAGATATCACGGTCCTTGGGAACGTTGTAAGAACAACTACACGGGACAGCAACATTACGAAGCAGATGCCTGCCCCTCCAACCCCAAAGGGAGGAAAGTCAAAAGCAGTTGGTTCAGAAGTAAGACTGCTTTTTCGGTGGGTAGTTATTTAATGTGAGGAAACACTCCCTCTCCCAAATTGCCCTTGAAATTTGCTTTGCATGTAGAAAAGTACATACACGGATAGGCTTAATTCTTTCAATTTTAGGGCCTGCTAACCCTCAGCTGCCTGGTTACACACGCAGAAGAGGCTAATAGCAAAGTTGACTAAGAGCACAGTATTTTTGTCTCCAAACTTTTAACTCCTTCTTTATCTTCTGTCTCTGTAGAAGATACAATACAACCTTCAAGGCGATGCGATGGGGGAGTATGCAGTGGCTATCTTTCCCTCTAATCTGAGATCTTCAGCAGGCTAATCTCTTGCCATCCTTCTATTTTTCTTGGCAGTCGGTTAGCTCCAAGTGCTTCTGGAACGGCACTAATGTATTACAGTTTTAGCAGTCTTTGATGCAAACTGCATCCAGTGCCCAGAATTACCCACTGACTGCTCAAAGAAAGTTGGCTCATACGATTTAAATCCTGGGCATCGCCGAGCAAGTCTCCACCCACAGCTCACGGTGTTCCTTCAGCTCCTGGCAGGGGACCAGCATTTAGCAGTTTTTCCATAGGGAGGAAGTGCTCAGTTTCTAAAATTTGCAGATACGGCAGATTAGCTTCCCCCTCTCTGGTAACAGGTGTAGCCCTTTACAGCCAGGGACACTCTCCGCGCGTTCTTTCTTTTTGCCAGCAGCTATTGCCAAGGCGTTCTTCTTTCAAGCATGAAGTTTACGTTACAATAACGAAGCAGGGGACACCAGGAAACGCCACAGAACAACCCTGCAAAACTCTGCTCGTCTGGCAAGGCTTGTTCAACAACCAGACAAAATCTGATCTTCATCTTGAATGAAACCCCATTATTATAGCAGTATTGTTAGTGTTTGCTCCTTCCTCAGTGCATACAGAGCACGCCAGCATCCTCGAACATCTGATGAGGTTCAGCGGCGCGACGCTTCCAACCGCCTGCCAAGGTTTTTGGTTTGCATATCGCCTGGGCATCCCCACAGGCCAGAGATAGGAAGACCAGGGAGTAATAGGAGCCAGACAGGATGAGACCGAAGGGTTCAGAGGACCAAGAATCAAGCTCCAGCAAAGTGTAAAGAGCATAATACGGCTCCCTCTCTAGGGACTGTATCACATTTAGCAAACCCCCAGCCTATAACTGGTGTTACATTCCCACTATATACAGGATAGCAGAGAGGAGAGCTACTAAACCACCTGACAAATTCCTAAGAAATTACTTGGGCTCAGCTGAGTGAGGAAAAAACCCCACCTTTTCGCCTCTACATGGAGAAAAGAGGGATGGTTACAAACCCACAACACAAAGTGGCAA